TATCAAGCAACAGATCGAATTTTATAAACTACAAAGGAAATATATTATGGTTTTACACATGTACGAAAAAAGTATCATCATTATATGTTTTTGAAGATAAAATATGTTAAAAAATAATCCCTATATTCTACAAAAATGAAGTACATTTTGTAGCCACACTGTCTAGACGAACATATTTTGGGATACAGCCGTCCCATGTGGATCTGAAAACAGCCATAATGTTGTACAGCTAAATTCAGATGTCTTCTCAGCTAAATACTATCTTCTCACACCATACCCTACACTTATGCCACCATTAAGGAAGTTTTCACCAAAAAATAGCAAAGTTATTGCGAGAAACCCAAATATAGATTTACAATCAAAAAATATATACTCCAGATCCGACATACAACATCATATTCAAACACAACAGTTTCAAGAACTCCTCACAAAAATGGATAAACTACAAAGACAATCCATTGACCAAATTTTAAGAAAACTTGCAGAAGCCGCAGGATTTCAGACATCTCTCCACAGGATTACAATGGATATTTTAAAGATATAAAAGATTATATCCATTTAAATGGTGGAAAATACCCTCCACAAGATAGTTCACCTATTAATATTTTCAGTTTTGTAAAATTAAAAAACGAACTTCTCGTCTTTCTAGGATGGCCCTACTACGTTTTAGAAAGATTGACTATTTTATACGCAATATTTAATTTTTTGGATTGCTCTTCTCATTATTGACAGAAATCTATAACACATGCGCAACACACACATAAGTAAGCAAACAAGCAATTGTAGCGCGCATGTTATTCGCAGAGTTTTTGAAAAATTTTTGACCTCAAATAACGAAATTCTTCTTGACGCTCAAATAAATGAAAACATCGAAAAACTATCAACCACGCCAAATGCATATGATACTTCACAAGACAACAAAAATACAACACCTAAAGCACCACAATTAGACAACCTTCAGAACAATCATCCGTTATCTTTAGTACCATCTTTAGAAATACAACAGTAACAGAGCACATCTCTACAAGTCATAGCTACCCACAAAGTCCAGTTACTCATATAAAAATCCGTCAACCAAATACAGAAGACACGTACAAACAAATCATAGAACAGCCTCATACCACTAAATTCCGTTCTCAGAACACTCATCTTTTAGCGCACGATGAGCCGCCAGATTGGATCCCTCAACCATCCAATCTCAAACGCCACTCTCCTAACGTATCGATCTCTGATCTTACTCCCTCCCCCATGCCATCATACACTAATAATTCGCCACGCATGGATTCTGACAATATTTCCACACACACAGTTTTTCATACCATCTCACAATTTAACAAATTCGATATAGAAACTACAGCTGAATTCCAAAACTGCGAGCCCAGTCCGTCCACTTTTTCAACCCCTTTTGCAACCCCTTTCCGTTCACTCCACACCCAACTCCAGATGAACACAGCATCCACAATTTAAGAAACCCGAGCCCACCGGGCATTTAAACGAAAACATCCCAATACCCCAATGCTTACCAACCCTCGACCTCCTAGAATGTTTTCCGTTCACGCACTCCATAAAAACACTCCAGCATTTCTACAAATGCGCTGACCATACTTTCCACAATACCCTTACTCCCAAACCACTAACAACGATCAAATATTTTACGTTGACGAAGATACCCTGTTTCCCACACTTTCATGGACATCATATTACCATTTCAATAACCCATTATCACTTCCATTATATAATAATCAGGAAGACAATGAATTATCTCAAACTCGACTACATCACTTAACCAAGCACTTCATGAAAAACAGTTCACAACCATCGGACTAACGATTTACAATCAATAGGTATATACTGGTGTTATTTTACAATCAATAAGTATATGTTTTGGTTTTATTTTTCTGGCTAGTTTTTGATTGTCTACAAAATTTGGAATGATTAGGTAAAGGTATATATGATTGTGATTGCGCCATTTGAAACAAAAAATGGGTTTGTTAAAGTTGCATTTCACTGATGTATAAAACAAAAAATTGAACTGGTTTTTATTTTAGTTCATTGTTTGTTCGTATTGCAACTAAGTTTTTTGCAGTCTATAACGGTACTTTTATTTATCACAGTCTAAACTCCGTTTTTTCTTAGAGCTCGAAATGGTGTCGATCGTTCAGGATCTCAGGTCTTGCTTTGATTCTGAGCTCTATGAGTTTTTTTCTAGGCGAGAAAGATACTCGGTAACATTATATTACTTTAATTTTCTTAAAACTGTTTTGTCCTCTTTTTCATTCAACTGTTTTGTCTAATTCAATTGTTATAATTTTTGTTAGTTATAATTCAATAATTCGAAACCTCTTTTTTTTTTATTTCTCGACACCGTTTTGCCTATTAATTATATCTAAGCCAATTCCTAAAACAGTTCAGAAAATCATTTTAATTACAGTTCACTCAGTTGTTAAAACAGTTCGGAAAATAGGGATGATTTTGAAAACAATCAAAGCTTAATTTTAAACCTAATTTGATGAATCAGGATTTGGGTTTTCAAAAAAAATATTTGGCTATCTGACTTATTTTTTATTTGAACTCAAACCTTAACTGGTTAAGTAATTTGTTGCCTAAAACACGGTCTCTTCATCACACTCTATTTTCGGCTGGTTACATTCGTGAAACTTTTTGGCCCAATACTAAATCTCAGTCTTTTTCGTCTCATCCGTGGACACGAGTTCAAGTGTAATGGGAATCGAAAGATTCGTTGCTTGTCGGTGTACTCCATCGGTCATTTGGTCCGATAACGGCAAAAAGAGAAAGAAATCTTGATGTGTATTCAGTCACGGAACGCACAAGCACCCGCAGAGCTGGCGAAAAAGGTATTAAATGAAAGTTCAATCCTCCGGCAGCCTTGCATTACAGTGGTTCATGAAAACGAATCGTTCGGCGTTGTAAGAGAGTATCCTACACAATAATAGAAAATAGGAAACTCACTACTGAAGTTAATGAAATAAATTTATGTCTCGTAAAACATTCACTGATATCTCGCCCTGGAAATTTCAATAAGTGTAAGTCAAGATGGTTTTGAGGTGTTGGCTGCAAACAATTTTTGTTAAGCCTAAATGTTCCTAGCTTCCCTTTTCTTTTTTATCAAATGCAATCAGACCATCGAAAGCAATGTATACGAGCGCAAAGCTACGTCAATTTAATTTTGAGTTGTTGGCTTTGGGATTTAGTAGCAGCTCTGAATAAACGCAGTAAGTGGCACTCCGATAGTGACGTTATTTTGGCTCGTGATAAAATCTTCAATTATGGAAAAGATAAAATCGCCCGATCCGCCGTAGCCATGGCCCAATCGTTCCATGTAGCTTACTCGGCTGGCCGTAAAGCTCGCACCAGTTTTCGCTCATTCGGGGCTGAGGATGTTCGCTTTTAAAATAATGAAAGTCATATGGCATGAAAATTAGCTAAAATTATAATTTATAAACGGATAAGAGGTTTAAAAGTTACTGAGATTAAGGTCAATTTGCCATCAAAAATGTTTACTGTTTTGAGATTGTTGGAAACGTTTTGAATTCATGTTAACCGGAACTACTATCTTATTATATCAGACGTTTTTTTTATTAAATGTTGTTCTGTGTTCTGTTTATTTGTTTGAATGGCCGATAATTTGCATATGTTGAAGCACGTTTTTAGCCCGAATCCGAGTCTTACACGAGAAAGCGCCGCAAACACTTTTTAAAAATCGAGTCCTCCAATATTGTGTTGGTGTCGGTCAGACCGTATGATAGATAGCGCATGCGATTCAAATAATAAAAAAAAATTTGAGAAACCGATCACATTTTACGGAGGATAAGGGGCGATGCGACTGAAACCTGATTGCCATTCTTTTCTAACAGCAATTACGGCAAAATACGAAACAGCAAAATGTGATCAGATCATTATAAGATGTCGTCAAAACCAAAAAAAAACTCAAAAGAGTTGACCTAAGAAAAAACTTTTCAAAAAACCACACCATCTAGTCATCTAAAACTCCTGTTCACGCTAGCCGTTATTATAGCTTTTTTAAATCAAAATTTAGATTTTATACTGCGTCCATGCAACAGATTTTTGTTCAAAACCTCCTGTACCCTGTCAATTCCGGTAGTCAAAAATTTTCAAAAAATCATCCCTTGGGTACTAATTTACGACATTCTTTTTTAGCTCACACACTTTTTATATTTTCTGAAAGCGGCTTGGCGTTAGTTTACAATAAATATGCGAGGCGAGAGAGCGCGCCAAAAGAGGCTCGAAATGTTTAAAATTTAACAGCCTACACCCGGGGATATCAAAATAAAATTTTCTCCTTTTTAAACTTTTTTTTGCACAGCGAATTGACACAGTTTCAGTTTGCACAGTGAATTGAATGACAATGGAAATTAGAAAGATAGCCCTCATTCTCATTATAACATGAAGTCATCGCTCTAAGTTCAAATAGGATACACCAGTTGGGAATCAGTTGGTAATTAGTTCGGGCTTATAAACATCGTCTCAATATGTCGTTCGGTGTTTTTCAATTAAACTGTATTCTGTTTAAACTGAGCCCAAACAAATTACCAATTGATTCTCAAATGGTTTCCAAATTCATCAAAAATGTAGTAGCATTGCACAAAATATAGAACTATTGATATAAAACTTTAAATTTTGATAAGTTTGCAAGCTATTTAACCTTCGGAATGGTACTACGGAATGATACTAAATGGACTTTTGTGCAAGTTTCAGCAGAGTTAGAAACAGATACTTATGTATGTTTGCCGTGAAGGGGTGGGTTGATTGATCTCTTTAGTGTTTCCAAATTTCCAAATTTTGTCCATATTTTTTATCGACCATATGGGTTTTCTGAGATCTGCTGAAACGCCATAGGCTCCACTTTGACAAAAACTTCTGTGTATACGTTTGAGACAATTTGTTGAAAGACCTACAGCCGACCCCATCCCCCACCATCACCACCACCATTCCGTAAATACTGGGTAAAGGTAAAGTCATTAAACAGTTTCGTCGCGGTTAACATGTCCGTTGAGGACCTCTACGAAAATGGTCACATTTATGGCCGAGAACTCCTTGGCCAGAGTCAACAAGAAGAGGATGAAGGCAGCAGTAGCTGCCCACTCGGCCCCACTGCACGTGTAATAGAGTGTCTCTTCGTCTTCTTCTGGTTCGTAGAGATAAGTGTAGCCTTCAAAGAGGAACAGCATCGAGGTGACAAGAAACCCAACGCCACTCACAATCATGAGGAACAAGCGGAAGACGAAGAGCACTTTGTTCTTCGGGAAGTGTCCTTCTGATGCGAGCTTCTGGCTCAAATAGAGTTGCAGGAAGCAGTAAAAGGGTGCGAGTCCAATGGACATGCAGAAGCCAATTATGTGAACAGTGAAGTTGACGCTCTCTGGGAAACTTGCGACCAAATTTAATCCAATGGTTACGATTATCGCGAGGAGCAGCGCCAAGACGTTTGCCCTCTGGATCCCTATCTTGTCGTGTCCTAGGATGCCTCGTATGTGGGAGAAGCGAATGAAGGCGGTCATCATGCAGCAGAAAGCGAAGGAGACGACGAAAAAAGTGAAAAAAGTGCTGGCGGGTGCTACTGAGCCGGCGTCGCTGACGAAGGGTAATTTGGATGACAACTGGTCATATTTGTACCCTATGGAGAATGGTACAACCATAGAAAGAGCTCCAAAAGCTGCAGTCAGTACTGGGAACCAAGCCAGTCCGGAGAATAAACAAAATGTCATTTTGAGCTAAACTAAGAAAGATATCGAGTGCTGCTTGTTTTGATTTTTGGTTGACAAGATAGCAATATCAAACCAGCTAGTGAAAGAATTTAAAACCTCTCGGTATGAAATCTATACGCATCAAAGTTTGTAACTGACTCAATAATAGTTATTATTGATCAAAATTTTTTATTGGGTGTGCATTATTGTCAACATGTTTTCGGATGTTAAACAAGGATTTTAAGAAACCCATTTTTTCAATCAGAATTAAAATTTTGATTTGATAGAAAAACTGTTGATTTTTTCCAATTCCTGTTGTATTCTAGAATGATCTAGCCAAGAAGTGTGTTGACCTTTTGTTTCTATTTTTGTTCCGATTTTGAAGAAAATAAAGTAGTATTTATGATAGGAGTACTTTTGAGATAGCAGACCAATTTTGGCTACGAAACAGTTAGTTTTCAGCGGAGAACTATTTGCTTTCAAAAAACGAAAAAAATAACAAGTTGAGACTTTGAAGCCGAAAGAAAGTTGAAGTATTGCAAATACTACATTAACAAAAAAGCTATTGTTTTAATTGTTTACCTTCGAGAACAATGAACAAATGTTAATCTTTTCAACTCATAACTTGTTCACACATGCTTTTA